TTTGAAATCTATGTAAATGAATGGGGACATGCATTTAACACTTTAGCTTCTTAGTACCATAGTGAACACCACACATGTCACAAAAAACAACCCTGGCCACTGGCTTAATTAAGAGCTGAATCTGACGCTTTACTGCTACACAGCAGGCACAGTGTTACTTTAAAAGTTCTAAAACTTTTACTGGTAAAGTTGCTGCAGAATGAAACAGTTGTGCCCTTCTTCAAACCAAAGTGAGTACTAACAGCAAGAGCACCTACCTTCACTGGGAAGTAGTAACAGCGAAAACTAAGGTGGTCACGACCACACAGCGGAGGGTGTTCCGATCTCATGTGCATCTCCAGGTGCTGGAAAAAATCATGGTCCTGTGGAAAAACAGACAGATCAATCTCAGGTTAGCAACAAAAAAAAAAAAAATAGGATCTACATCACCAAATGTCCTTCCCTTAACATCAAGGTGGTGTTTCACCATCATTCCAGATGTGTAAAAAAAAAAGCACAATCACCAAAAAGCACTGGGATACAAGAGTTAACAGGCTAAGTCTTATCACCGAGGGCAGGGGATTGTATTCTAACTCATTCTAAATGGATTTATTTCCACATTCAATTTGGACAGCATTTCCTTTAACCCACTACTTGTTACTTACAGAGCTGCAGGCTTCAGAGTGGAAGCTCACTCAGTTGATCCACAAGACATACTGAAATAAAACAACCCTGGAATCTAATGCATTTAAATAAATTAAATCAAAAAAATAGCAAATAGTGCAACTTACAATTGTCTACACAGAACTGCAAGCTTTCTTCAGGATTTATTTCCTAACAGGAATATGGAACTAAGACACACATGCCTGGTATGTGCCCAGTTTGAGCTGAATAAGGTAGTCACATCCAGAGATGTGGCTGGCTACTACATTTATTGGTCGTGCTAGTCCTCAGCTTGAGAGGAAGCCAGCTGCTGATTGCCTTTTAAGCAAAATCCGCTACTGGCTGATGCTGTCCATGGCCAGGTAAGATTGGTGAGAATTGTTATGTGCTTATCAACAATTTTACATGAAGCTATACCCCTTCAGCAGTCCTCATTGTTAAGATCAGTAAATGGAGTGAAACCTCAACTCCAAACATAGAGTGATCTCAGGTCAAACTCGAAAGAAAAGCAATTGATAACAACAATATCTGACCTACCTCATGTGATGTGAACGGAACTAGGATCCCAATACCTCCAGACAAGGTTGTGTACACAAGTGATTCTGAACCACCAGGGATTAATGTGGTCTTCTGTAATGAAAGGACTGATTCTCCCACATGATAATTAACAATGATCTCAGCCTGAACAAAGAACACAAAATCATAATTACACAAAGACTGCCTCCCCTTACTCAGGCCCTGACGTCAGACTGAAAATTTGCAAGTAAACAACTTTACCCTCAGGTCAGCCCAAATACTGATTTCTATGATTCCTCATACTGGTACTTCCAGTTTTTGATAATTTTCAGAGACAATGATTAATTGAGATAATGGACAAGTTGTCTGCCTTCAGGTAGCCAGTTACTGAAGCAAACCCAAAAACCCAGTCAGCAGGATACCTATCTAGAAGCATACACTTCAAAGTATATTTTAAAAATCTAGCAGCTCAAATGGCCTTCCAAATACGGGTCACGAGAACGGAGGAATCCTGCAGTGATGCCAATGATAAGCCTACTACTGGTGGTGGCAGGATAAAACTGAGCCAAATGAATTCACAATCTGCGAAAAGCAGATTGGTACAACACAGATGTGTGCTGGCTTAAGTGATCTGTTTGCTTGGTTCCAAAATAACAGAAAGCTAACATACACATTACTGACCTATCCCCCTGGGGAGGGACAACAAGAAGGGAGGAGAGGAACAAAATTACATTACCAAACACTGTAAAATCAGTAGACAATACAAGTACATGGTGTCAACATTTCCACAGCTGCACTGCATGCAGTCTCATGATCATTTTCAGTTCACATGCATCTCTATTTGGAGATGGCCTGGTCAGGTTTTAACGTTGATCCTGGCTATTCACAATTCCATCAATTTTACTTTTTCCTGTTTTGGCAGATCAGCCTAGTTAACATGCACTATAGCAAGGAACCTGTTCAAATAAACATCTTGGTCCTTTATCCCCTATCTCGTGCTATGGCAGAGTAATCAAGCTTTATTCACATCTCATACTGATATGGTGCAGAGTGACCCTGATGCAGAACAGTGGTTCAGTCTGAACCCAAGGACCATGAGTGAGTAATCTTATCACGCAAGTATGAATGTATATAAATACTTACTGCAAACTACAAATCATAAGGAGAAGTCTCATGAGCATAAGCATTTTATCACATCAAACCTCTACCATGTCAACATGGTCACAGACACATTATGTGGCTTCTCCCCTTAATCTGAGAGGAATGGAAAACTGTCTCGCTCTGCTTAGATCTTACTAAATGCATCAGAGGCTTCTTCCCACTTTCCACAGCTGGTGCCCAGTGCTTCTTCCTCAGCCATATTGCTGCAGGCCTAGGCCAAGAAATGACTCAATATAATTGCCTGTACTCTGAATAACATTCTCTTACCTTCTGAGAAGCTCCATTAAGTAGACCTCTATCCCATAAAGCTTTGTTCCCAGTGGGATCCTCATCAACGTCATCACTTGTGTTTGGAGGCAGTCTCACCTGCAGAAGTCATAAGACAACCCTCAATAAGTGGTTCCTGTATGTTACCATAGCCTTTTTCTAAAAGGCGGCACAGGACTAGGAGTACTGGCTGAAGCATTTCACAGTTCGGCAGATGTACACAATCTAAGCAAACGTTCTGTCAATTATGAAAGACGAGTGAACCAATGCCACTGCTATATGTCACATTGACATTTCGTTACAACCGGTTAAAATGACATTAATTTCTGACTGCGTATTTGGAGGGGAGCGGTCATTCGTAATAGCGTACAATCCCCACTGAAAACCCTGCGTTTAAAATAATTATTAATTTTCATTAATGTAGTGAAGTTGCTGGTGATAGGTTATTTCAGGCAGAAACATCTGTGTTCATTCACTATAAATATCCTGCAGAAATCCTCAACTGTATAGAAATGCACTTTTCACAAATACGTGCAAGCTGTGCACATTTCTAGAGCAGCTAAGAAGGATTTAGATTGGGAATCTCTCAATGATTTCTCCAACTGATAGACGTTCAAAAGATTTATATGGAATTTTATTAAAAATAAGGAAAACAACAGACTTTTCCCTGCGGGGATCATCACTTATAGAGCAAGACAGTGATAACATTTAGCAACAGAACCACAGAAATGATACAGAACAGAGAGGTACCATTCAGCCCATCTTGTCCATAGCCCTGCAGCTATTCGAACTTAAAGTGCAATCTAAATACTTTTGCATAGCATCTTGCGAGAAAGGAAGAACTTTTCCAAAAGAGCATGCCCAAGCCAAGACAGCCACCCTCAGGTAGGATATTGTACATTTAAATATGGGAGACAGCTGACATGCTCAAATCACAATAAGCCAATTCATTACCCAGTGTTCAGTCCGGTAGATGCCGAACACCTTAGAACTCGAAAACTCTTGCTGATCTCTGCAGATTGAGGATAATTTTTTTTTTTTTTTTTATAAAAGAAGTTGGACACAAGTAACCTCTGCCTCTGACAGGAAAGCTTTTGTGCTTTTATAACAGATCAGGCTGGTAGAGGTGCTTTCTTGCTTTTTCCCAAAGCACCAAAACAGACAAACTGATTTCTTTACACTGAGCAAGCTAGGCATGGTTCATCATCTAGTCATTCCCTTCAATAATCAGCAGCTCCCATTTCCTGTAAAATCTCTAGAAAACTCTCATTAAGAGAATAGTAGCAGGGTGGTAATGTATCTGAACTAGTAGTCCGGAAACTGGACTAATTTTTTGGAGACATGAATTCAAATCCCGTCATGGAATCAAGGTGCATTTAAACCCAGTTATTTAATCAATTTGGAATAAATAAAGTCAGCATCAGTAATCCCAGGCTATCATAAAAAACACCTCTCTGGTTTACTAATGACATTCTGGAAAGGAAATCAGCCATCCTGACCAAGTCTTGACCACATACAACTCCAGACCCTCAGCAATGTGACTGATTGCCCTCCGAAATGGCCTAGTTACTCCTTCAGAGTTGAATAATAAACCTGGGAAGACCACCCAGAAGTGTCCTTGGCACCAGAAAAAAGAAATGCAGAGGCAATGTCACTGGATCAGTAATCCTGAGACCCAAATTAATATTCTGGGGACACAAGTTCAAATCCCAACACAGCAGCTGGTGGAATTTAAACTCAAATGATTAATTCTGGGATTGAAAACCAGTCTCAGTCAATGGTCACCATTGACTGTCAAAAAGCACATCTGGTTCACTTATGTTCTTTATGGAAGGAAAATGCTGTCCTTGCTTGGCCTGGTCTACATATGCAGACACTCAGCAAAATGGCTGACTCTTAACTGCCCCCTGGTATAGCCTAGCAAGTTGGTCAATACTGCCATTGAAACCCACATTGCACAATTAAAAATAAACACCTGTGAAGAAGGCCTCTTTACTATCATGAGGACTTGTGCCAAATTGGGAGTGCTGGGCCAGATGGGTCAAATAAAAAAACCATACACATCAAATCATAACTTACAGCCAGTGTCCGAGCCTCCTCGATGAGGGATGAGTAATAAGGTGTAGACCTTGTCAATAAGGCTCACCTCCCAAGAATGAAAAATAACAAACCTTTAACCAGGTCACTCTAATACTATATTTCACTTCTACCAGCTGGTCGACTGGAGAATTATGCCTTGAATGTGTCATTGCCAAGTACACAGGTTTGCGAGGGTAGGTACTTACCACACTGATATTGCCAAATTTATCAGCACCAGCCATTGTTTCATAGTCCAGCAGACAAGCTGTGGTGATCCAGCGGGGTAATGTGTCATCAGCAAAAATGATCAGCTGGTTCTCATTGCGTTTATAACGAATCCAGAAGAAGCTCTCCTGTACGTCTGAGACGATGACTCTGTGCCCAATGGTGTGGATTGCCACTATGAAATTTGGAATGTGCTAAAGAAAGTAAACCGCAGAAAGTTACAGTGCACATTAATTTCCCAATAAAATTCCTTAGGCAACTGCAAACAGCTGTGATTGCCGCAACTCAAACATGAATCTGCATTAGAGAGGTCTCCCAATTCCCATTTCTCCCCCTCTTCTACACATTTTTGATATACAATAATGGTCGAAAGTAGTGAGGTTTTTAAGCACTCAGTCCGCATCCGTCCTCCTTGGGATTGGAATATTGGATCCATCAAGAATATAGATAAAATTTCATTTGGGAGCTAGCAGGATCATTACAGAAAATGATTAAGCTTTACATTTTCAAAAAAAATGGCAGTGAAATGTCAACACCCAATTCCCCATGGAGATTAGAGCAAGCAGAAGCAACAAATTGCAAGGAAAGCCCTTCTGATGTTCAAGTCCTATATGCAGTCTGTTCAACTAGGTTAAAACACTTACTGTGAAATCAAAGTGGAAAAAGGACACATTCCTGGCCTATTCACTGTAAGTTTATTGGTAGAAAATGGCTTGATCAAAGACAACCTCCAATTTTCCAGGTTAGAACATTGCACAACTGTCTTTTAAAATGCAGGCTGCTGTTTTGATGCTCCAGCAGAGACATCTCATTAAGAGTCAGGACAGGTTTTACTCAAGTTTTTAGCTCATCTCGTGGAAAATATAATCACTGAACTTGGATCAAGATGCCCGGGAGGTAACTGTAATCACGTGGACATAGAGCCGTACATCCCACTCTGCAGAATGTGGTGGGAGGAGCTAACATAAAATAATGTGTGACTACACATTGCTGATATCAGGGTGTGCCACGCCAATCCTGAAACAAATGACTTTTCCCCAAAAGGAAAGGAATCTCCTTCCTAACTGCAGAGGTTAACATTCAGATCCATTGTATTTCCGAAAAGCTGCAGGGAAACTGTAACTAACCTGGAACGGTTTAGGGATGGTCAATTTTTTTTTTGCATATCACCTTTATGTTCAAAAAGGGTTAGTGTTTGTACTGTAAAAGATTTCACTTAAAGCAGGGAGTTCTTCCCCCAATGTCCGCAGCTTCTATCCTGAGACAGAGCATATCATTCAATTCCAAAAATCTGAGCGGTTTCTGTGTTACTGTTAGCACTGTGTTAGACTTCCTTTTCACAAAACGCACTGGTACCTTATAATGACCAACATAACAATCTCACAAGAACATGCAGGCAGAAAGGAAGGAGGCTGCAGGGGAAAGTAAGTCCCCAGAAGTTCTGCTTCAGCAGGAGTTCCAGACACTTTACAACATGCCCTATATTTTAAGGGCTTGATACACAGAAGACTGTCCACAGTCCCAAATTTGCCAGTGTTTGTACGATCAGTATATTTTACCATGCAAGTTTTTTTTTGAATCTCTGAATGTGTCTGGGAACATCTGTTGTTTTCTCTTCCTCCAACATAATCATGATAGATTGTCAAGATTTCCTCCATCAATGCCCAAGCTATCACAAATGGAGCATACTTTCCTTCCTATGGTGTCCCTCCCATTACTGCAAGAACAGCACTTAGGTATACTGCATAATAATACCATGAACAATTGGACCAGCAACTGCAACATCAGTTTCAAATGTAAGCATAAAAACCCATCACCTTCAAAAGACATCAACCACCCTACCTTATTTTCACATTTCCTCAGCAGCTTCTTTTTCCCCAGGTCATAGATGCGCAGGAGTTTCCCCAATCCAACCAGAACACGGCCCTGAAAAGGGGCAATGGCTGTTGGAACATCTTCAATGGATGTCTGTTTTTGGAGGAGTTTGGTGGTAGGGGTGGAAGATGATGGGAGTTGCAGGAAACAGAGTACAGAAAAAGACAAACAAAACAAATCATTCTACAATGGGATAATTATTCAAGTTGTTTAAATGCCAAATTCTACAGGCTTAGTGTTTGTCTTGGAATTGTACCACAAATTCCAATCAAGATTCATGCACTTAACCATTTCCTGTGTTTAATGTCAGTGCTAAACTATAAAAATTGAATGACAGACCGTGATGCAATGCAGTTAGATCATGGCCTCATCCACGTTTCAGGTCTGGTTTGGATATTCACTCAAAATGTATTAGTGTTAGTCACTCCTGTAAGAGTTATGAGTATTTTGCAATCCGGACTGTGTGCATAATGTCAAATATTTAACAATATCACATAACCTAGGGTTGTGATGTAAACCAGATATTCACTTCTTTCAGTAGCAGCCTTAAGCCGATCTCTCCAATCTTTTGGTAGGCAGGTTGAGAAAATCTTTAAGCAAAGATCGGACACACACAAACATCATTAATCGGCTATATTTCACAGTATGGACATAAAGATTAGGGCTGGACTCATTGATTACAAGTTATACATACCACTGTTCTCACCATTACAAAAATAATATGCTGTGCTTGCCACTAAGTTCATGTTAGACAAGATGACTAAGTAACTTGTACATACTCTCACCCATTCAACCTATTCTAGGCAACATCTAATTCAGATGGCTTTCCAATTAGAAAACTGACTCTCAAGCTATGTATTTGCTTTCTTATGTTCAAAAGATGGAGGGAAAGGCCCTATACTAAGAAGCTTCCAGACTGTTTGGTATGAGATCTTCAATAATCAAAAGCAGGTAGCGAATTGGGAAATTCAGTTTGATATGCAATTCATTATTACTTTTAATGATTTTTATTCCCCCTCACTGGTTGTGGGCATTGCTGGCTGGACCACCATTTATTGCCCACTCCTAGCTGCTCTTGAGAAGGTGGTGGTGAGCTGGCTTCTTGAACCACTGCAGTCCATTTGGTATACGTAAAATCAGAATGCTGTTAGGGCTGGTCTGTATGTGGTGGGAACAGAGAGGATTTTGACCCAGTGACCATGAAAGAAATGGCGATATATTTCCAAGTCAGACCTTAGGCGGCTTGGAATCAACTTGTAAGTTGTGGTGTTCCCATGTAGCTGCAGCACCTGGCTTTCTGGATGGTAGTGGTTGTGAGCTTGAAGTGTGCGCCCCCAAGAACCAGTGGCGAATTTCTGCACTGCATCTTACAGCAGTATACACTGCTGCTGCTGAGCATTAGTGGTGAAGAGGGTGAACGTTTGTGGGTGTAGTGTCGATCACGACAATTGGGGTCAGTTTGTCCTGAATGGTTCAAGCTTCAAGTATTGTCGGGGCTCTACTCATCTAGGCAAGTGGGAAGTATTCTATCACATTCCTGACTTGTGCCTTGTAGATGGAGGACAGACTTTGAGGAGTCAAGAGATGAATTACTCACTGCAAGATTCCTAATCTGTAACCTGCTTTTGTAGCCACTGTACTGAAATGACTAGCTCAGTTCAATTCTGGTCAATGGGTTTAGTGGGGAATTCCATAATGGTGATGACATTGAATGTGAAAAGAGCAATGGTTGGATTCTCATTTGTTGAGAGATGGTTATTGCCTGGCATTTGTGTGGTGCGAATGTTACTTGACACTTGTCAGACCAAGCCTGAACATTGCCCAGGCCTTGCTGCATTTGGGCATTGACTGCTTTAGTATCTCAGGAATTGTGCTGACCATTGCATAGTTATCAGCAAACATCTCCATTTCTGATGTTATCATGGAAGAGTGGTCACTGATGAAGCAGCCGAAAATGATTGGGCCTAGGACACGACTCTGAGGAATTACTGCAGATGAGACGACTTACCTCCAACAACCACAACCATCTTTCTTTGTGCCAGGTATGACTACAATTAGCGGAGCATCTCCCCCTAGTTCCCAGTTTTACTAGGACTCCTCGATGCAACAGTCAGTCAATTATGATTTTGAGGTCAAGGCCAGTCACTTTCATCTCACCTCATGCCTTTTAAAGTAAGTACAAGAACTTACTTTGATTTTAAAACCCACCAATTTAATGCAGTCTTTTTTCAAACTCTGTGGATACAGTCAAGTTTGGAGGTGTTTATCTGTGCATATCCACTCTACTGGTTTGTCACCAAGATCCCCATCTGTTTGTTGTACAAATTACTGATGTTGTTTAACATACTTGTCAGTAATCTTGAGTTTAAAAGGAAACCATCCAATTAGCATTAAAATTTATTCAGTCAAGTTAGCAAGAGATCTAATAGGAGTGGTGTAGCTCACCATCCGAAACAAGCAAACTTTACTGTAACCATAGACCACATGTTTGATTTGTCCATGTAATTAGTTGATCTCAGGCAGATAGCAGTGGGTGATGCCCACTGAATTCCTGATCTGCATTATTAGCCAAGAGTAGGACAATGCAGAAAATTAGGCTCAGTCGTGAAACCTGCAATCTCCATTAGCCTAAACACACATGCGACTTGCACATTAAGAATGACCACCAAGTGAATTATGAAGTGAAGACAGAGGGGTGTAAATTGGAAAATCTCTACAAAAATCAAAGGCACCCCAAGAGACCATGGCAGCTTTGTCAGCCATGTTCAGATCACAGCACAAACACATGAAATACAAAAAAAAGGATGAATTGTTTTAGCAATTGAAAACCAGCCATCTCTCCCAAAAGTTCCAGTACTCACCTTGTGCACGAATTCTAGCTTCTCTCCGCTGTTTATAAGTTTGTAGGTGTAAATATATCCACCGCCAACCGAACGAGGATTGAGGATTAGGTCCTTGCCAACGCCAACCAGCACGTACCAATCATCACCACCATTTCCAAACTTACAAACAGCAATACTGGAAATACAATACATCCATGTTAGTACAGCTTAATGACTTCAATAAATGCCCTACACAAACCATTCAAACAAGCATGCAGGGAAAGTAAAGGAACTTTAACAGCCCAAGCCACATTCAAGAACAAGTCAAAATATTCAAACACTGTGCTAGTATTCACCCATCATATTTGTTTGGAAAATGTGTTTCTTGTGATCAATGCTACACACTTCCCTAGGTGGTTGACTGTGTCAAAGAGGCTTAGGAAATGGTTCAGGAGGCTTATATTTTATGATAATGCCTTGCCGATAATAATAAACTCGTGAGCTACTGACACCCAAGGATGAAAAGGTTTCTATTAAGACAAGCTGGACTTTCACACTGATCACAGCCTACATCAATCAGTACAATACACTGCTATAGATGGCTATTAACCTAGCAGGCTGTATTACCTGGTGGAATTAAAAAACTGATTATGTGAAATAAAACGCCATAGATCACAGAACTCAAAAGCATTTGCAGTTTATTATAACTCTTCTGCTAAAACCTGTCCTACCTGAATGCTGCTTCGTTTTGTTCCAACTGGATCTGATCATACACATTGCCTTGGATGGGGTTCATTACTCGAACAACAGATGCCCATTGTCCACTCCCTGCCTTTGGGGATCCAAAAATGGATTCAGGCAAGTTTTCGTTCAAGAAGGCAGCTGCCATCTCTGCTGCCAATTCTCGCTCGTCCTCTCCAGCTGCTTCCACCATTTCCTTAACAACAGATAAAAGTGAAGCATTAATATCGTAATGGCGTGCTGATATTGCTAATCTATCAATGCCGAAAGCTGCACATATCTAGCATTTTTATAACACTGACAGGTCAACATATAAAGAACAGTTACATTCCAGTGGTTTTACTTTAAGCTACCACACTGTTGTAAGAAGAACCCAAGTCACATACACAGAATAGTGACAACTTTCTTGTTGACATTAAGCAATCTACTTTAATGTCAGGTTACACCTCTCTGCACATGCTGTGTAATAAAAACTAGCATCTCTATTCTCTTTTTGTGATACATGGCATTGTCTTTACAGCGATATCGGTGTCTGAAAAGTTACCTCAGCCATTTGCTGTTTGCGCTGGGCTTTGGTGGCCTCTGTATAGGCATTGTGATCGGTCTCAATGGCGATAATGTTGTTGCTTTCTGGGTGAATAACAAACTTCCTTGGGGTATACTGCAGAGGGAAGGAAACCTGATTGAATACAGCTCCTAGCTTCTCAAGAGCTAAGATTCTGGAAAGAAATGAAAAGAAAACAATGGAAACTTTGCAACTCATAAATCCATTTTTCTGCCACTACAATCCTGCAATCATATATTCAACTTAAAGGCCCTTTAAGAAGGGTTGAGCTGATTTATGGAATTGCAGCAAAACATTTGCGAATTAACCTTACTTAGGGAATCTCATTTTTGTAACCTTCTCTAGATAAATAAGCAGGTTAAGCAAACTACTCTTGCCATTTGTAGGAGCCATGTAAGAGATAAATGAGACGACCTTCAGATTCACTGTTAAAAGGGACAGGCCATCATAATATGGCACCTGGAACAGTGTATCGTGTCTTATAAATATGATGTGATTGAGTGGACGTGGGATACATCATCTACCTGTATTTTCAGGGAACTTTTGGTAAAACTCCTCACACTAGCACATTGCTCAGAGGCAAAGCCAGGTGCACATACTACACTGTCAGGTGAAAATAGGGATTGGTTTTAAGTGTAGCTCAGTGATGACCTGCTACACATGATCAAAACCTACAATGCCAATAAAACAATCAAGAGCAGAACAGAAATTAGCCAACTTTTAATCAGAAACATTGCAGTAATCACAAGGTATCAGGTGAAACACGGACTGGATGTATCATCATTTTAAAAGTTATGCATATTTTGTTCTGTGCTGACCCTATACCAAACTAAAATGTCATTTGCCATTTCTCTTGCACATCTAAATCACTGTATTTGATTGCACTCCTACTGCCCTAATCTGTTCACAGACTCTGATTATCATCTGGCAACAGACTGGTCATTATTCTGAATGCAATTATCTAGGACATGAATTAAAAAATAGGTAATGGAATGATCCCTGAGATTCAATTAAAAGATGCTCCTAAGCTGATCCATTCCTGTAAGAGCTATTTGGCCACAGAAATGGAGCGGATTCCTAATACAGCTTATTAAATTGCAACTGATTCAAGCCATCCATCTAGAGCTACTTCAGCATGCATCAGACATTCATACTACATGACTTGATCCCTGTAGTCATGCCTTCACGATTAGAACATCCAAGCTTCTCAGTTTTGTTTTCATCAGCTGCAGTTATCACTGACAAGTCCAGCATTTATTGCCCATCCTTAATTGCCCTTGAACAGTGTTTCTATTAGATGACTGGATCACCATGTGCAATTTGGTATCCCTACCTAAGGAAGAATATATCATACAGCAAGTGCAGCAGAGATTCACTAGGTTGAGAGTGGGGCAGCAGGACTAAGAGATTGGTACAACTGGGCCTGTTTTCACTAGAATTTAGAAGAATGAGAGAGGATTTGATTAAAACTTATGAAATTGTACAGGGTTGAACAGATTAGATGCAGGGATGATATTTCTCCTGATTGAGGAGTCTAGAACCACTCCCAGGATACAGCGTAAACCATACTGAACCTGTGGATTCTTGACCACAGAAGGCAGTGGAGGCCAAGACGCTGAATATATTCAAGAAAGAGTTAAGGGGTATGGAGCGAAAGCAGGAATATGGCACAGAGACAGAAGTTCAGCTATGATCATACTGAATAGCAAAACAGGCTCAAAGGGCCAGGTGGTTAATAGTAAAAAGGTGTGGTCTTAGGTTACAAGACGACAGACAGGGTGGTCAGATTAGTGGCAGGTGGAATTTAACCTTGAAGAGAGAGAATGCAGTTTGGAAGATGCAACAAGCCAAAAGAGTACTCGATGAATGGCAGGACACTAGAACCTCAGAGGAACAGAGGGATCTTGAGGGCATGTCCACAGATCCCTGAAAGTGGCAAGACATGTAATTAGGGAAATTAAGAAAGTACACAGAGAACACTTGCCTTTATCAGCTGTGGCACAGATTGTAAGAGCAGGGTGGCTACGTCGGAGCTGTACAAATCTTTGGTTAGGCCACAGCTGGAGTAGTGTGCCATTCTGGTCAACTCACTACAGAAAGGATCTGACTGCACTGGACAGGGTGCAGAGGACATTCACTAGGATGTTTCCTGGGCTGGTGTGATTTAGCTCTGAGGACAAGATAGATAGGCTCAGGTTGTTTTCTTTGGAGCAGATTAGGCTGAGAGAGGACCTGATTGAGGTGTACAACATTATGAGGGACATGGACAGGCAGCAGCGGTTCCCTTTAGATAAGGGTCAATAAAAAGGGGCCATGCTTTTAGATGGAAGGCAGGAGGTTCACTAGAGATTTGAGGGAAAAAAAATTTTCAACCAGAGTGTAGTGGAAATCTGTTACACACTCCCTGTGAAGATAGTAGAGGTGGGAAAACTCAACCTTTCAAAAAGTACTTGAATAAGCACTTGAAATGTCAAAACATTCAAGGCTATGGCCAAGTCCTGAAAAGTGGAATTTGTGTGGATAGGTCAGCACAGACTTGATGTCCTGAGGAGCTTCTTCTGTGCTGGACTTATGGCTGATCTGGGTGCATTCCCAACTCCTTCCTGTCTAACCTCTACAAAATCTGTCACCGTCTTGTGTGTAACAATTTAACTAATTCAGTCTTGAACAAATTTAAACACCCAGCCCTCTTCATCCTAGGATGAATCAAGTGAACCTTCTCTGAACTGCCTTTTAAAAATCTGTTCAAGGAGTATAGGTAGCTCTGGCTGGGCCAGCAGAGTTTATTTCCCATCACTAACTGCCATGGGCTGCCTTTTTGAAAGGTTGCAGCCGTTACCAATGCAAATACATTGTATTTCCAAATACAATCCCCAAAACTGTACGTCAGATGTGATTTTGCAAACCCTGAAAAAATGTATAACACTTCCTTGTTTTATATTTTATTTCCTCATGATAACTGACAAGTCTACATGCTTTCCGAATCACTTGCAGCACCTGCAAACAGATTCATGTACCAAGACCCCAGATCCCTTTGACCCAATAAGTTTCTCTATTTAAATATTATACAGTTTTTGAATTCTTAGTCCCAAGTTGGGCAAATTCACATTTGCCACAATATACTCCATCTGCCAAATTTCTGCTCACTCTCTTAACCTGGCATGCAGAGCCAGCATCCTGACTTTTAGTATTCCATTATAAACTTAATTGATTCTAACATGCTCCCTATGACAAATGTTAGGCTGACTGGTGGATAGTTTCTAACTACAGCTTGCTCTGCAGTCTGATACCTCTCTTGTCTCAGAAGAACTGTGGAATTTGCTAAAAGCTGAGCTGGCTTCATCAATTCCTCAACATATTTCTGCGCCAAAATACGTCTGTAGACAGAGTGCTCCAATTCATGAATTTGCCCCCAGACTGCAGGCCAACAGAGATATTTTGTAAACAAGCCTGGGACTGGTTGGAGCAGTTATCACAGTCTATCTTCGAATTATTGGTCACGTCAAGTTTCAGGGAAGCAAAGATGGTTGCAACTGACCATGTGACATACTGAAAGCAAGCCCTAAAAGCTAGGAGTTTACGAACAAGTTCCAGCATCTCTGCTTGCAGCCTAATGCTGAAGTACTGCCCATCAGTCTTGAATGTTGACTCTTCGTCTAAGATTACTGAAAGCATGAGCAGTGTCAAACAAAAAGCTGAAATAATGGTGCAAGGACACATCTTTACTTCAAACTAACACAACTGCCCCCATCTTCTAGCATACAAACCATTGTAGAACTGTGTTGAAACACCTACCTCAGCGTGTTGGTGGAGATTGCCACAATACCCTCAGGACACTGCTCAGAGGCAAAGCCAGACGCATACTCCAGAGTTTCGTAGGAGAGAGGTGTCAGGTGGAAACGAGATTGGTACGAGTAGCTCAGCCATGACCTGCTTGACATGGCCAAAACCTACATGGATAAAGGAAACAAGTATTAAATTTAAACTAGCTAATACCAACGACAAAGCATTGCTCCAGATCAGCAACACGGCCAACTTTAAATCAGAAACATTGCAGTAATCATAAGTTTTCATGTGAAACACGGACTGAATGTATCATCATTTTAAAGCTCACTTTTGAAGACTGAAGGTTAATGACATCACTGGTATTGAAACTGCAATATCTCTGGAGATTCTGTAACATTATAGTACTGTCTCTGCACTTTACCCTGTTACAAGAATTAAAGATTACATTTAAAAAAGGCTCCTGGGACCCTAAAATTGCTTTTAAATATGCAGGCCAGAAATGCAAAAGGCAAATCTAGACAAAAGGTACAGCAAGGGAGTACAAAAATTACTTTCCATGGATACATGGATAAGTAGATAATGGTTTTGACTGCTGGTATATTCAAAACAGTCGAGTACATTGGAGATAGGATGAAATGTTTCAAAGTATGTAAAGGAAAAGTGACCGAGAAGGAGAAAAAGTGAATACAATACAATTTTGTGGAAAGTTTAATCCAAAGGAAAATCCTGAGGAAGAAATAATGATGCAAGTGACAGAAGTCAATTTTCCCACTCAATCCAAGCAATTCCCCTTCAGCTGCAAGATCCACAACTAGATTTTTGATAATACTTAAGAAAATTTTGCTTAAGATTACTATCAGTTAGAACCCCTGGCCGGAGGATGCTACCAAAAGCAGCACTTGCAGTTTTGTCTCATTATTGTCTGTAAAGGTTGGAGATTCAATTGTGTACACTCACCGCTTCTTGCCCCTGCATCCTAACCCTGAAAAGCTTGACAGGTCGCGATCCGAGATACCGGGTCCTTGTGTCAGACAAGTCTCCAGTGACTGGGTCCAATACTGTCCTTAATAATACTCCGTTCTAAGATAACCACAGGAAAATATTAAAAGGATATCACACCAGGAAACAGAGCACAGCTAGGAACAAGTCACACAAAAATGCAGCAGCATACCTGGAAATTATTTTTGCATTGGTGCTACTTGAACATTTGAAGCAGCCTTGCCTTTTGACAAGTGAGCTGTTGTGAATCCAGTCACAATGCAATATAAATCAAGAACACACACTAGGCAATTACACAGTGTATCCCTGATTTCAACCATATCATACCCCATGGAGCAGATGCCAGGGGCTTGGTCCACAGTTGAGAATAGGGATAATCCAAAAGTCACTAAGATATTCATGTAATTTCCAAACAGCAGGTAACAAATCAATTAGCCTGCCAATCCTCTATAACGTTTGCACAATTTTTCTGGTAGTGGTCCACAATTTAACTGAGTTGCAATACCCCTGAATTTAGTGAATAAACTACGGTGAACATGATCACACATCGAGGATTGAATACAACCCTGGACTACAAACCAAAACCTGCTCCTCAGGGTTCTCGAACCGAGAATGTTACATAATTCATACAAAGTAACATTTCGTGACCTACATACCTATTGGTTTTACTCACCTGTAGACCAATGTTTAAGTACAAAAAGCCAATGGAACCTTTCTCTCCCAGTTCATCCTGTTTCTCTGCACCCCCCATCTCAACTATACAAAGAGATTCAGGCTGTGCAGGAAGAGCTTGCATACTGAGAGGCTGCAGGCAGTCCTGAGAATGACAAGAATACAAGGTTAAAACTGCTCCTTAAATAGGCTAATTGGCGAGGTACTAGCAACTGGAACAGAAAAGCCACAGATTAAATCCCTGGTCTGTGTAACCAGGACTGTAAAATATTCCTTAAATTTGGGAAGTTTCTGAACCATTTAAACTGGCTCTTTGTGCAAATGTTTGAATGTTGGAGAGAGATCGAATGCAACGTTACAGTCTAATGGGGGTAACTGACAAAGCTCTTTTTTTCTTTGCTGTACACAGTTCATTTGTTGCACTGCGTGGTTCCTTTAAGACTACTCTATGCTAATGCACACGCACATCTTACTGGAAAAGTTGGTCATGTGCAGCCTATTTGTTGCACTCAACAGCTTACAGGACACATTGGTGACTAGGCTCAGTGAGAACTGAAGACCAAAAGTTCATCATATCATTGAAGTTCTCACCTTCAGGTGCACAAAGACACTAAGATGTACACCAAGCTCAGTGAAAGGAGAATGCAAGATTAATTCAAAATATCGTCTGACAAATCTATTTGAGAAATCATGATGGAAGGTCAAGCCAGAAGGTACTGATTAGAAGTTTTTTTGATACACCAATACATCAGAAGACAATAAGTAAATTAATAGCTCTCTAGAGGAAAAGCAACATGGAGTGTAGTTTATTCCAGATTTCTGGAATTTTGATATTTAGTGGCAGGTACACGGTAGTACAAATCAAGGCTCCAAATAGATCCCCGCCCTGATATCATGAAGTTGCCGACTGCCTTATTATTCAACTTGCAGACTCAAAAGAAGTCCCCACTTCATATTCAGATTCATGTTCCACTTACAAATTCAAACACTAGCAACCCCCCAAATCATTCTGATCAGGAAGACGCTGCAATCCTTCGTCACTGGGTCATAATCCAGAACTCCCTCCGAAGAGCACTTTCTGTGACCTACACCACTTGAACTGCAGCAATTTAATTAGGAAGCTCATTACCATCTTCCCAAGGGAAATTAAATGCTGCTTTGCTGGCACTGCCCACACTCTAAGAACAAAAAGACAGTTTACAGAACTAATAAGGGGTTAGTAACATTGCAACAAGGACTGCTATCCAACACATCTAACCAGCTTTACCAAAGAAAAAAGCATTTGAGCAAAAACTTACTGAAGGGTCGAGAGAAATGATTCTGACAGTGTTGTCTACGAGCCCAACAGCCAGAAATCGAGAACGCTGCTCCCCTGGGGGTACGTTTGCTAAACTCATGCAAACCACATCAGTTGACATCTCTTTCCGCTCAGTATACTCATTCAGTTGTCCAGACTGCAAAACAAAATTTTGTAAATGTAACATCTGAAAGATCTGATGCATAATCTTATGCAAAAAGAGGTCAGTATAACAGCACACTGCAGGAACAGTTTAACACAACAGGAACAAACTTATGACTGTAACATTAACTATCAAATACTAAAATAACTATTCAAATAGAATTTAATCCAAAAATGTAAATAAATTCACAGTCATACAGCACGGAAACAGACCCTTCAGCCCAACTCGTCCATGCCGACCAGGTTTCCCAAACTAAACTAGTCCCAATTTCCTGCATTTGGACCATATCCCTCTAAACCTTTCCTGTTCAGTTACCGGTCCAAACATCTTTTAAATATTGTAATTGTACCTACATCTACCACTTCCACTGGCAGTTCACTCCATACACTGCGTGTGGAAATAATTGCCCCTCCGGTTCCTTTTAAATCTTTCCCCTCTCACTTTAAACCTGTGCCCTTTAGTTTTGAACTTGCGTAACCTGGGGAAAAGACTATTGCTATTCACCTTATCTATGCCCCTCATGATTTTATTAACCTTTGTAAGGTCACCCCTCTACCTCCTACACTCCAGGGGAAACGTCCCAGTCTATCCAGCCTCTCTATATAGGTCAAAACCTCCAACCCAGTAACATCCTTTTCAAATTAATAACATCCTACCTATAGCAGGGAGACCAGAACCATACACAGCATTCCAAAAGTGGCCTCATCCATGTTGTGGCTGTGCAGGACAAGATGTCCCAACTCTTATGCTTAATGCTTTGACAAATAAAGGCAAGTGCGCCAAACACCTTCTTTACCACCCTGTCCACCTGCGATGCCACTTTCAAGCAACTACGAACTTGCATCTTTAGGTGTCTGTTCAACAACACTCCCCAGAGTCCAACCATTAACTGTGCAAGTCCTGCCCTGGTTTGTCTTACCAAATGCAACATGTTGTGTTTATCCAAATTAAACACAATCTGCCACTCCTCAGCCCACTGACCCAGCTCACCGAGATCCCGTTCACTATCGACTACACCACCAAATTTGGTGCCATCCACAAACTTACTAACCACACTTAAATTCTGCTCACCCACGCCCTGCTTCCATTTTGCTCTCTTGTCCCCCAAATTAAATGTGGTTTTTTGCCTAATATAACACAATCAATGCTTTATAAGTATTCTGTTTTGTCAGGAAAGCAGATCTGAATAATGTCCGTTTGTTTCGGGTCAGCTACAATCCCAGAATGGGGGTGAGCCTAGCTACTGCTATTGAGTCTCTGGAACCTCCTACGATTGGATAGAGGAAGCACTAATGTCAACCTGCAAGCAGATCACACACTTAGAAAAGGATAACATTTAAAGAAAATGGGATGTTCAGGGAGACACTCGCCATATTATAAAGAGCAAGAATTTCCAATTCCATTTGACTCTAAGTTCATTAACTCCTTACTCACCGGATCCATCTCAAAGTAGACCAGTTCCCCGCCTGTCAGAGCAATCACCACCTGGCGCTGATTCACAGCACATTTCACAATCGTCTTTTTACCAGGGGTCTTCCACTCATTGACTCTCTTATCAGCACGGATATGACGGATCCCATCAGGATATACCTAAAAATCACAAAAGGAGCTGGATTTTCCTTGGGCTACATTACAACACGTGTTCACTCCCAACTTAATCCAAATTCCCAATTTAAAAGCCTTGCAACCTAAATTGCACTAAATCATGCCATTATTTATACATTAAGAAATGTATTCTTAACTCTTCTACCTCCTATGTGCTATGATCAATCACAGCAAGACATCAGACAAGTCTGGTTTATTACTAAATTACAACACCCTGCGTAATTACTACAATTTGACTTAACTTTTATTTCGTATCATTCTTCTCCAAATATTTTAATTCTCTTCAATGTTCCAGTTCCTGCCTCACTAGCTCTGTTTCAGTATACCTCCATATAACCAAAAAAAAAAAAAAAAAAAAAAAAAAAAAATCTCGAATTGCCCCGTTGTTCCTGCAATGAAAACCCAAGATCTAACCACATTAAAAATTTATCAAATCAGTGAGGAGCATCTTTCAAAAGTTTTACACTAACAATCTCTGGTTAAGTGTGTTCCCATATTCTCTTTTGGGGTTCATTCAAGAAAACTTTTGGCTGAGACTAAGAATGTACCGGATATTAAAGACAGCACTGGTTGCAGGACAGAAGACAGAGATCAGTAAGACATGCTTATTCTCCAAACAGAAAATCAATGATATAATTTAAACTATTTAATTAGCTGCTTAATTGAATGCCTTTTGATTGTGTGGGAGAACAAAACCAACTTCACATTAGAAAGAAAAGGTGTGTTTCAAAAGAAAATTATTTTCAATCATGTTCTGGCATTGAAACAACAGCAGACTATTTGGTCACTTAAACCAGTGAAATCAGACAATCAGACAATTAGATTATTGCTAGTCTATGTTTAAGCACAACTATTTACATTGCTTCCATACTGCTTAATACCATGGTTCATCAAAAACCTACTAATCTCAGTTTTAAATTGACTTGCGTTTGTCTTTTTATTTTATTGGGGAGGGGTGGTGATAAGGAGGATGAAAAGAGAGAGAGATGGATCATCTATGAACCACCTGGTTCTAATTGTTCTGAACTCCCACCTTTCTCATCTTAAGCACTCTAATTACAACACTTATCAATGGGAATTCTAGGCTTACGATTTAATTCTTTTATCCAAGAATGATTCTGACGAATTCTCCCTCTCAAGCTAATAACAAGCCAATATACCTTTTAAGGGAGAACTGACCACAAAACCATAAATTTTGTCTTAATATGTTGGGTCTATATAACCAATATAATTTTCACCTTTGGATTTCAGATTCCTCAAAATAAAAGCAAACATTTTGTTAGCCTTTTAAATTATGTAACTGTCACTTTATGTGTTCCAATTACAACAAGGAGCATCACACATTTCAGCAAAATACCCAAACAGGACTGTGAAACTATCATTCCACCACAGTGTAAATTGTTCACTTTCGTTAAACCTTTAGTACCCACAGTACCACGAATATAACATTAGTATAGTGAAGATTGTAGGATTAAAGAAAAGTAGCCGTACAACAATATATTCTGTTCTGCCACCATGAGGTTATTTTGGGTTGTCACCCACTGGGGAAAATACTAGTGTTTACTTGGTCAATCAGTGCTGGTAGAAGGCAGAGGAACAATTTGAGATGACCAATGAAACACATCTCACACAAAGTTTTCTTCATTAAAACTTTTCCTTAAAACAGCACCTTAGCACCTCCTGGCGCTATTTTCAAAGAATAATGGCCCAAATTCTAAAAATTACATATTAAATGTCCTTCAAGTGACCAATTGCGAACCGAATTAAAATAAAGGCAGATAAGTATTGCAAAATCAGTTTGCTGGTGTACAGGTCACAAATAGTTACAAAAGACTTATTTTAAAAGTGCACCTTGTACACACATTTTATCATGCAACCATTGCATTCAACTTATCACAGCAATGAAGGAATTCTTTCAGAAACCAAGCTGTGCATTCACAACACTGTCCTTTACAGGCAAGTGAAGAAATTTAAATGAGCAGTCAAGAAGCTCAAATATAGCTTTACGTGGGGTTTCAAAGAATCAGTCAATTTCTATCCCCATACCTGCACCAGTGCATCCTCACCAAGCAAGGAGCAGGACAGTGTGGGCGTGGTACCCAGAAATCCAGAATCTGTTACTTCCTCTACGGTCTCACCAATAGACAGTACCAGCGTGGCGTTCACGAAAGACACAATGATGTATGCATCATACTCATCTAAACACACACAAAAAAGGTGCAAAATACACTTGCAGGTTAACATTCAGTGCTGTTATAATGTGCATTACTGGCAAATTGGCAAGAGTTTTTAAAAAAAAGACTCTAAAAGCCTTTAATGACCATTACAGCATAGAAGTTTCCATTCAGGCCATCAAGTCCATGATAGATCTCCATACAGCAATTCAGTCAGTCCTGTTACTCACTCCACCCTCATAGATCTGCAAATGTACTGCCTTCAAGTATCTAATTTCCTTTTGAAATCATGCATCGTCTCCAATTCCAGCATGTTTGAGGGGAGTGAAAGCAGGTCATGACCATTTGCTGCATAAAAATGTTCTTCCGGATTTTTTCCCAGCAGCTCTTACCCAATACCTTAAATCTGTGCCCCAGTCCTTGTACCCTAAGATAACAGAAACAGCTTTTGTCTATCTTATCCAAACCTGTCATTATCTTGTACATCTCAATCAAGTCTCCCATGACTCTTTTATTCAAAAGGAGAAAAAAACCCAGCTTCTCTAACCTAACCTTGTAGCTAAATTCCTTCATCCCTGGGACTATTCCAGTGCATCTCACTGCACCCTCACAAGAACCATCATATTGTTCCTTAAGTAGGATGATGATAAATGGGACATATTACTGTAGTTGTGGCCCACCTAGATCTTTATAAAGGTTTGACATAACTTCTGTTTTGTTCTTGATACCTCTACTTGTGCAGTCCAAGATCCCATAAGGTTTGCTCACTTTCAAAGCTCTATAAAACTCATGAAACCTCAGGTCACCTCCCCCCCCACAACCCACCATTTACAACTGTGCCATTATTTGTACTGCCACATCCTATCTCTTCTGCTAAAATTCATCGCCTCACATTACCCCGAACTGAATTACATGGCATTTGCCTGTCCATTCGGCTAGGTATCTATGACCTATTGCAGCTAATTGGCATTATTCTCATTTGGTGTCAACATAAAAGTTTGATTTCAAAGACAAACCTTGAAACATAAGCCGGTATCCTAAAAGCAAAATCAAAAGGAGTAGCACAGACTCAAGGAACATAACACTCTACCGCCTTTCCAGTTTGAAAAATAACCATTTATTTTAATTTGTGATTGTTGCTCATAAGCGAATTCTTTTAAATCCTTTTAAACACCTGCAATTCTATCAGCTTCAATTTTATTAACCAGTCTTTTCCACATTACATTCATATAAACAACCAAGTGAACAACTTTCTTGGTCACTCTCACCAAAAAATTTCCAATATTTTTGCCAAGCACAATCTGGCTTTTACAAATCCATGCTAGCTATCCTTAATTAATCCAATGACTGCTATTTTGTCCCTTTTTATTGTTTCTAAAATCTTACCCATCACTGACAGTAAACTGACTTGCTAGAAGTTACAAACATGGCCTTCAACCTTTTTACAGTGAAGATGTCACATTTGCCACTGTCCAATATTTTGGGACCTTCCTCCTACCGAGAAATACTGGAAAATTATGTTAAGTCCTCCCACTATCCCCACATCTAGTTGTTAATGCAACTTGGGATACAAACCCTCTGTACTAAAATGAATTCTCAAGCACACACAGCCCTTCCAATACATCCTGCTTATAAATGTCAACCCATTTAAATGTTTAAATTCACTTATACATCCAACAAAAGTAGTTTTAAACTGCAATTCATCATTGATTTGTCAATTTAATTTATTTTCTACACATGCATACTCCCACCCCACCTCAAAAGAAATACTGGCTCTAAGCTAAAGCTATTTAAGATACTCTCATTTCACCGAATGGAATTAAACTACATTTTTCTACATTTAGTCCCTTTCCTTTCCACTCTTAGGGGACGGCAGCAAAGGAAGGGAATGTGACGAAAAAGCACTTGTTTTTGCAACAAGAATGATTGGTTATAGAAGGCCTGGTTAATACTTGTAAAATGGAACAGCCCTTAGTATAATCAATGCTCAGATAGGGAGCTTTTTTACCCAGAATGCCACCAATATGAAATATGCAACCATTAGCCACTGGCCAAAGAGAAGGGACATAAGCAATCATGACAGAAACCATCGTAATTACAGACTAGCAGGCAAAGGGCTAGTACTGAAAGGTTTCTGATTCAAGACCTGGAGAAATGTTCACACATCATAAATTGATCCTGCAATTGATAAATTATACCAAGAGATTCCTATAGTGATCATCCAACTGGTTAAACCCTCACTGATTTCAAGCTTCCACTTAATCCTATACTAAATTTGCTGATTCCTTATTCTTTCCTGGCCAATTCTACAAAACCCATATTGTACACTCATCATTAAAACAATGATGTCTCAAAATTAGCATGCAAAATTCCTCCCATAACTACTGCATCACCACTTAACAACATGCCCCAAAACACCCCAGTACCTGAAACACCCAAATTCCCCAGACAGAATCAGAACAAATATCCCGTTGCATATACAAATGTTAAGGCAACATAAGCCTCCCCTTGACTTCTCTATCTTCAAATTTAGTGTTGTCACTAAGATTTCAGGTGTAATTATTTTCAAAATGAATGCCCACTTCAACTGAAACTCTGTCACAGAACAAATCCTCCTCTTCCAAAGGTGAATCACATCTGGAAAGGGAATTTTGAGCTGCATATCAAGTTGAAGTTCTGGTGGCTCCAAATGGTGATTGCAATTTGTGATGACAAGAACATTCACAAGAACTGAATATCTTCACAGGGCATAATTTTCTGTCTTGATATAAATAAACTATATAAGCCTAATGACAACACACGAGTGCCGATTCTTCTAATGTTCTACAGTTGGAGTGCAAGGGGTATGTCACAATTTTCCAGTCAACATCCTTTTGTGTAGAATATGTGCATCAGTAGTACTTTGTTTCACGTAATCACTGGTTAGGACTGTTCTTTACAATGCCCTAAACCAGTATCCAAGAGGCCCTACCAGCAGGTACGCACCTAGAATGAGTAGCACCTTCCCCGGCCACCTGTGGGAGAGAAACAGAGGCTTGGTATTGGTAGAGATTGAGCCACCACATACCAGCCTTGGTTAGTACTGCTCTTTCAGATTGAAGATAACCAGGGTATAAACTGCAATAAATATATTACTCAGGCTAGGCAAAGTCTGTATTGTCATACCCACTCATCAAGCCAGCACAGGAAAGCATCACAGGCAGGCAAAAATCAATACGAGTAAAGTAACCATAATCTTATAGTTATGAGCGACTCACCGCCCAATCCAGTACATATAACACTGCTGTAATGTGATGGAAAACAAATGTACTCATATCCCATGAAAGAATAAAAATGTAGCAGTCTAAACCTGACATAGCTATATTGAATAAGGAACACAAAAAAAGAGCACATTCATATCCAATTTGAAAA